TATATATATATATATATATACCTTTATTTATTTATTTATTCAGGAAATTTTCAGAAAAGTCCACTTTCATCTCTGTTAAATTAAATAAAAAAATACATTTCAAAAATGCTTGCTTATTTTTAGAAGTCCATGACCCAACTGGATGTGACACAAGCATCTTGAGCGGTGAAAGAGGAATTGTGAGAGATCCAACGAAAAGGTGGAGATAATATGGTTGGGTAAGCAATAAGCAATGTACCATTATGAATGTGGATGCATAAATCCGTGTCAAATGTATTAGCTGGCACACTAAAACATATCGTTTCATTGCCATGGGGACGACATCAAACACGAAGCACAGAAAAATGAGTGGGTGAGGGAGAAAAGGAGGACTCCAATGTCCGGCAGCATCGATATCCAGGAGATTCCTTTCAAGGGGAAACGTTGTAGTTTGCAGTTTAAATCTGAAATATCTCCTTTGTGATGCAGGCAGTCCAGGAACTTTTCTTGGAACATCTTTATTATCATGAGTACAGTTTGCGATCGTGAAGAAGTGCACTGCATCAAAGGCAATAGCTATTATTAAGTCCATGAAGTTGAGAAAAGGTAGTTACCTGTTCCAGAAAAATGAGAAAGGTGACATTCGTGCCCAGTACAGCTGACAGTGTACCATCACCGGTGACCAGGTGGAGACCTTTAGGGGCTTGCATGGGACATTGCTGCCTCTTGGCTGTGTACTCCACAATGACTCCATCTGTACAGTTGTTTGAGACCACCTTCCTGTAGCTAGTGTTGGGGGACAAAAAATACGGAAAAGTGGGTATGACTGATACAACGGCAAAAGCCTAAAAATACAATTATGTAATTTTAACATGAAGCAAAATGGAATCGGAATTACTGAAAATAGAATATTTTTTTAATGCAGTTAGTCACCACACCACAACAAGGTTGATGGGAGATGAAAATAAATCAGGCCTAAATTTCTCTCACATCTTACAGACAAAAGCTAATAAACAAATAATCAAAGATAAATTTAAAAACACTCAAGGAAAATATGTGAGTTTCTAATTCATCCCTCAAATGTGATAAAAACCAAAGGAATATGTATTTGAATGATAGATGGCAATATGTATCTTGTGATAAAATTGTGTCTGTAAAAGGGCCAAAATTATTTATTTTGCATGTGAATGAACTGCGTATGATGGCATAGGTGTCCAAACCTTTTCGTTTGAAGGCCACATGCAGAAAAATGGAAGGATGAAAGGGCCACTTGAAAACTTGTCAGCGTTTTGAAACATGCTAAAGTCAGCCAAGAAAGCAGTTATACATTGTTTGTATTGTCTAGTTAATTTCATCAGCTTTCTATTAAGGAAAATAGTTGATGATTTTTGGGGTGGTCAACAGCCTTCTATCTCACAGAATAGATCCAGCTGTGCACTTAACAGCAGCCGAATCCCATCTCCACATTCAGAACCAAAAAAAAAAAAAAAAACGCTCACAAGGTAACCAGTTACTTGAAGATCAGGACAAAGTGGCAGAAACAATTTTTGTCTCTAAAATTGAGTAAACTTTATTCATTACAGTGTTCTGAAGTTGAGATGTGTTATTCGTTTAATCTTTTATTTGATCTTCAAATATAGAGAAAAGTTCTACATTACACTTCTCACTGTGCCCACCTTCATCTTTTTTAAATAACTGTGTGGCCCATGTCAAATGTCATTTTTAGTATAAGATATTTTTTGTCCTGTCATGGGCTGCAAAAAATTTGATGCCGAGCCGCAAATGGCCTGCAACTGGTGTGAAAGGATGGAACAATCGTGATGATGACCTGAAAAGTGCCAGAAAATTTTGGAGTTTAAACGTTTGTTCAAATGTCAGGTTCTTGAAAAATATGAGAAAGAAGGTCGATCTCTTGATGATGTTTTGTGTTCATATATTTGGATTTCTGAGTGATGTTTGAGTTAATTGTTCTGAATAGGTTGATTATGTAAAAAGGGAATTTGAAATTAAGCGAGGGCTTTTGCCAATGCCTTTTCGGTCTATGTTTTTAGATGACCGATCGAAATAAATTGTCATTCATGAATTCATTTACAATTAATTAAAATTACAATTACTTGACAATAAATTCATTGTTCTTATGTGTGAGTTTTCTGTGTGATGACAGAAAACATGCGTGACAGCTTTATTCAGAGATGAAAGTCCTCCGGATTTTCCCGGAATTCCGGGTTTTTCAAATTTTTATGAAAATTTCTCCGGAGAATTGAGGAAAATTTGCATAATCCGGATATTAGTTGACAACATTGAACGAAGACGCGTTTGAGTTCGTTGTATTGCTTTCACGAGCGTAGCCATATTGAGGCACTACCACTAGTAACAGGAAAGAGATTTTTGTTTGTGTAATAACGACAGAAGGCATGATGGCGTTTGACTAATGGTTTTGTAGAACGAATGGCAACTCACAACAACAGGAGCAAGCGTCATTTTGCCTCTTGGGTTATACCATCTCAACAAGAACGTGGGGGATAGTCCCCAAACAATTTTCGTCTCTTTATAAACACACCTGCTAAACCCCAGTGGAACGAATAAAAGATGCCCTCAACAAGACAGTTGTCGTAAAAAATATATTTGGCCAAAAAGGGAAAAACACGGATTGGCAGAAAATCGTGTCCGTCCGACTTCGAGTGTCGTCTCGGCTGGCCTTGGTTTGCTGTTGT